GCCCTGCAGTGCCCCCCCTCAAATATCCTTACCTACAGGTTTAGAAACCCTTTTGATTCCTAAAAACACCCTGCAGTATTTCTGTGGGTGCTTTTACCAGGTCACTCGTCCCACACTCTCAGTGGCAGCATGGAAGAAGCCACAGAACAATTCAGAAGCCTCAGTGGACCTTAAAGCTGTCCTGGCCAAAGGGCACGGAAGGCAAAGGGAAAGGAAGATTTGTGTGTGTGTGTGTGTGTGTGTGTGTGTAGAGAAAAGGGCAAATCTTTGGTCAGAAACCACCAATTTGTCCATCACTCCCACAAACATCCACTGACACGAAGTCACGGGGTAACAGTGAAAGAGACGGAGTTAAAGTTTACCCATTCCTGATGCTTTTCCAAATTACATGATCACTGTGGCTGGGAAGGGAGGTGTGCACAAGCTATCCCTGCAGTACAGACCTTGGAAACACAGGAAAAAAGCCAAAACATGCCAAATGGTTGCAATTTATTTTAAACAAGCACATTAGTTTACAGTTTAGTACAAAACGGTCACTTTTCCTTCCTACAGAGGTATGAGACTGAGTGAAAACCAAACAACCAAACCAGAACAGACTTGAAAATGTCACGTTACTGAATTAAAATAAATAAAACATTTAAGTTACTGAAATGGCATATTCACTATTTTCAACAGCTCGGATGCAGCACACAAACCTGGACAACACAGGCAGGACCTTTTGGCAAGAAGGTCATTCCCAGCCAGTTCTGAGCAGGAATAGCTAAAAATTGAGAGTTCTCAGGAATAGCTCCATCAGGATTCCTCAGCACTTGCAGCTTTTCTTTCTTTCCTGGCACATTCCATAGTGCTCCTTTTATTTTCCAGGCAGGTTTAGTATTTCCTCTTTAAAAAAATCTGAAAAGCAAAGAAGACTCCATGCACAAAGGACCGAGAAATTGGAATTAACTGCCACCAGCGTGGTAGGATCCCCATATAGAAGTGGAGTTGCAGAAACTCCTGTGGAACAAGCCAATACACAAATACAGCCTCCAGGACCGAGGACATGGTGGCATGAGGTGATTTTTACAAAGGAAACACTTTCTTGTAATGCACCCACCAATAACTCACCAGAGCAAAGCAGCATCACACATCCCCCAGCAGGCATAAGAGATCTTTACAGTCAGAGTACGTACAAGGATGTAATTTGTCATTATAAAGACCACAGAATCACAGGATGGTTTGTGTTGGAGGGGACCTTAAAGCTCACCCAGCTCCAACCACCTTCCACTAGAGCGGGTTGCTCCCAAGCCCCTGTGTCCCACCTGGCCTTGAACACTGCCAGGGATGGGGCAGCCACAACATCCACCAGATAGAAAATAAGAACAAGTAAACCAAGACTCACACAGCCAGAATCAAAACCAAGAAGACGTTTCCAGACGAGGTCACTACTAGCAGTGAGGTGAATGCCTTGGCTGGTTCACTGGCAACAGTCAGAGCACCAACATGGGTATCAACATCCTAATTTCATACTTTTACACTCTTGGGAAACAAACCCAAACCACTGACAGGTTCAGCATCAGTTCATTTTGTCACGGTTCCAGGAGGGTCACAGCAACATCAAAGGTAACAGCGTGGAGTAAAAAAAACCACCCCACCTTATTCCAAACCCACAGTTGTTGTTTTAATGTCAAAACCATCACTGCAAACCTTTTGTGTCTGTATACAGACGAAAAGCAGGAGAACAAGTCAAAGCCAACACACCCATGTGTTTTGTGGAGCTCTAAACCACAGCAGCAATGACTGATTTTCAACTCCAAAATGTGCAAGAACCCTGACAGCAGGAAATTCAACACTCCCACAGAAATGACCAATTTTCCAGACCCAATACTGGCTGTGCTGCGGTTTGGGGTTTTTGCTGTGCTGGTGTTTGAGCAGTTACCTGTCCTCGCCTGCTGGCTGATACCAGCATCTCCCCAGATCAGACCACTTAAAAGTTGCCTGATTTTCAAAACTCCATTTGGAAACTCTGGGCTTTCCTCTGGACAAGCCTCCTCCTGGGCCCTCTCGCTGGACTCCAGCACAAAGCAAGTGGCACTGACCAACATCGCTTCATCCTCTGCCTAGTTACTTACAAACTGTTTTAATATCCAAGCCCAGATGCTGTAATTATAGGGATTCTTATGAATTCCTAAAGACACCTACAGTTGCTCCTTGTGCCAGGACTCTGGAACAATGAAGGTCCTTATAAAGCACAGACACATTTTGGCATTACGTCAGTGACACTGGAAAAGAGAAGGTTCCACATCCAACCACAGCAGCAGCAGCTCTCAGAGGTGCTCCTGCAGCTCTTGGAAGCAGGAACTGGCCTCCAGCCTCATGGAGAGAACTTGGGAGTCAAGTTTCTTACATCAGAGCAAGAGCCATCGGGTGCACACAACGAACAGTGAAGACGGGTTAAGAACAGCACCAACCATGCACCTCACCATGTACGTCAGACCAACAGCACCGTGTGAACGGAGATGGTTTTTCCTCTCACACACGTGTACAATAACCACAGAAGGTTATTTCTTTGTGTGTTGAGAAACTTAAGGAACAAGGGACAGTAAATCTCTGAAGCTCACTTTTGTTATGCCAGCTGGAAGCTGCAGAAACATCCAGTGAACAAACAAGATTTTATCATGAAAAAATCTCCCTGTTGGGTTTTTGTGCTTTTAGGCCATTCTTGTTGCCAGGCTTTAAACTTTCTATACTAAGGCTTATGATGGAAATCTGAGGAGGACACACTAACAGTATAAGTACAACAAAGTGGCCAAGGACCCTTTATTCCTTCCATGTAACAGGGGAGACAGCAAACATTCAATTAAATTAAAAGTTGCAAATATAGAATTGAAAGGAAAAGCCTTTTTATATAACATAATTAATCTGTAGAACTCCCTGCCACAAGAAAACATTGAGGCCAAAACCTATTAGGATTAACTAAAGATTAGGTAATGGATAACTCCAGCATGCTCAATTACATTGGATAGGATTATAAACTTCACTATCCAGGACGTGAATTATCCCCCAGCCAGGATCAGAAAGGAACTCCTGTTCTGAATGGTAATTTTATAACTGTGTTCATGTTTTCTCTAACTGCTGCCAGCCAGGACCCCAGACAGCCCTATAAAGGCAACTGCCACATTCCCAACTGCTGCCCCATCCCAGAATGGAGCAGTTCTTGGACTGAGTAAAACCCTTCCTGACCCAAGCAGAGCAGTGCTCCAGCAGAAGGGCAAGAGAAATGGGCTGTCCTGCACAGACACCGTTGCTGGTAGCAGGTGATGCTGAGAGCTCACAACTGAAGTGTTCACTCCACCGTACTGGAGTTATCCACCATCGTAAGAAACTCAGTGTTCCCAATCTGTAAATCTGTTCC